TCGCATTCCTACATGCTTCTGCACGATCCGAATGGCAGCGCGTACCCTAGGTTTCGACTCGCCCAGCTACCCACGCCGGCACTGGCGGCACGAGCGCGATGATCAAGAGCGTCTGCAGCGTTGCTTCCATCAAGGTTGTTTGCAAGTCGGCCCCAATTGCGCGCGGGTTTTTGCCGCAGCGTTGCAAGTCCACCGACACTCGCACGGTGCGCAAGACGCCCCGCTTCTAGGGGCTACCGCCACGCCACTCCCAAATGACGAGCGGTCAATCGAGTCGACTATTGCCCCACTCTAGCGTCGTACAAGGCGCTAACCACGTTTTTAACCGGTGTGGACCAAAAGTACCTAGATCCGTGGGAGCTAGCCCAAAGTTACTATAGTGAGCTAGTAGAGACAGCTAAACCAGTGCAGTGGTTGACGCGCCGTGCCCCACATGCCGTCGCCGTGGCGAAAGCTACCATCGAGGTGGTTGATCTCGGCTGCGTAAAACCTGCTCTTGTACGAGGCGCTAAAGGCTGTCGGGTCGAGACCTCTTGTGCAGCTTGCAAACGCGACCTACGAATCCCATACCATCGTTTCTATCAAGTTCATGCACGTACAAGGCCGTCGTGGGGCGTCGACGGAGCGGCCAGTGCATTGATCGCTGTCATGATTCCGGACGCGGATGTCCAGAGACCGACGGGACTTTGACCGCAGAGCACAGCGTCGGCGTAGCGCTTGTAGCTGCCTTGCGCTCTTGTGTAGTAGCTGTTCAAGCCGAGCGCGGTGGCTTCCCAGCTCCCGGCCTCGTACATGTACGCGAATGTCGGCGCGATCGGACACCGGCCGAGAAGCCCGAGCACGGAGGAGAGGCTGGGTATCGCACAAGATTTGAGCAGCATGTTCAAGACGGGACTGCCGCCCATGGGTGTGTGGAGGGCGACCCATTTTGTCTCGGCGCTGAACGAGCAGACGCCGTTGGCGAGGGCGAGGCCCAGCACAAGGCCGCCCATCGAGTGCGTAACGACGATGAGCCGACCGACGCTGCCCGTGGTATTGGCCACCGAGAGCATTGACGCACAAAATTTCTGTTGCAGAACTGACGACGTCCACGGCACGGTTGTCGTATCGAAGCGCGCAAACTGAAGCGACGAGCAGCACGGTGCCGCGTCGACGAGGTCGTTGCCCCAGTAGGCAGCGTATGATGCGAGAAGGCTCGATGACTCGTTTGCGACGCCGGCGCCGTGAAAGAAAAGACAGGGTCGCCGCCCTGATCGACATGCACAGGGCGACCTCGTTGTGTTGGTGACCAGCGCCTCGGACAGCGAGGGGCAGGCGAGCGACTGACGAGGTGACACGGGCGGCGTCATCGACGTATTTCGGGCCAATGCAACAACTAGGGTTGGTGATATCGCTTTTGTGATGCCTAGCACAAGTAGCGTAAGCTACCGAGATGTTGACCGGAGAATGTACCAAGTTCTATGCTTTGGCAGATTGTCATCGGAGCCCCCAAGAACGTCGTGGCGTACGCGATGTAGCCAGCGTCACACGCCGAGACGTCATTGGACTGTGTCGCAGTTTGGATCGCGGCGACCACCGACGCCATCGACGGTAGCGTTGATGCAGAGCCGCACGTGACCGACACTTGTGATGCGCCTTCGACGACGCTGACGTAGAGGGCGCCGGATACCATCGTGTAGCGCTGGACGGTCGCTCCTTGGGTCATGTTGATGTCGTAATCAAAGTTGCCGTGCCCGGTTGCGAAGAGCGAGCCCGACGCATTCGCCGCGACAGAGCCGTTGAAGCCGACGGGAAGAAAATAATAAAGTTGACCGGAGAACGGACCCGCGCTCTCCAAGTAGCGCATGAGTGGCCCGTCCGAGCTGGTGGCGGTTGCCGGCTCCGCCAAGTAGAGAACGAGCAGCACGACACCCGCGATGCCAGCGGCCAAAAGACCAGCGCAGAGAAGAAGGTGTACAACTCGGTGCGGCCGACGCGCTGGGCGCTTGGCAACACCCAGGTCGTCCAGCGTTGTGTTCATGCTACGATTGCAATGCTTTTGAATCGCGCGTTCGTAGTCATGTATATTTATAGCGCCAGAAGAGTACCATCCCAACAGACAAAACGAAGGTTCGCAGAACCGAGGAAGCGGACAAGCCTTGAGCTCACCGTGTGCTAAGGCGGCCATGGAACCAGTGCTTCAAACACGTTGTGCTAAGATTATAAATGCCGTAAGAGAAGTTTCAAATGAGCACGGTAAGCTGATCGCGACGGTACCTACTATTGTGCAAAACACGAGCCAACTAAGCTTACAAGTACAGTAATACTCGTTGTGTGGATGGAGCGAGTGATGATGGAGCGATGACCAAGGCGGCCGCGACAGATCGAAGTATATCGATTGGCTAAATAAAATTGAAATGATACCTTTTTGTCCAATCACAGATAGTGTGGCCGGTGGCGCGCCACCTCCGTGAAGTCGAGACGCCAAACTACGATTGGAAACGAAATCGCCTATATTAGGCACATGGATAGCGATGACTTTGGAGAGTTTAAAACGCTACACCACACGCTCGTTGACCCCGTACAACGGGAGAAATGCTTCGTCAAAGTTTTGGATATTATCCGGATCCGGATACGCGACAGGCGTCGGCCGAGTAGATGTGGGTCCTTGGCCGTGGGTGGGATGGCGGCGGGCCTCGCTTTCTACCCGTACTTGATTGAGTAGGACATTTCTTGGCAGGGGAGTTCCAAACATCGTCGATGCAGCCAGAATGGACGGCTGCAGGCGTTGCTTCGTGGCAGTTCAACTGTAGTAAATGGCTATTACGCCATCATTTGCAACGCTCCTTGGCTGCAACAATCTACTACGATCGTCGGTCGCAAAGATTCCTTCCCGTTGGCGCCGCTTCTGCGCTTCCCATCAAGACTGGTCCAAGGCTGACTCGCTCGGCCTGTCCGGTGCTGTTTTTGGACCGCGCCCGCCAAAGATACGTTCTCGGACCAATCAAAATGCGCAATGATTTTAGCCAATCAGCTCTCGCCACTCTGGCCTGGCTAAATTTACGTCGCAGTTGCGAGCAAACGATGTCGTCGACCGAGCTCTCGCCGTCGCAGGTCGCTCTCGCCGTCGACGCGTACGTCGGCGCGACCCTGCGCTGGCTGGCGCTGCACCGCGGTGGCTGCTTCCCGCCCACCGTCCGTGGCTTCAACGTGCACCTGCCCTTTCCCGTGTCGCCCGAGACCATGGAGCAGTGCATCCTCCCGGCAATGAAGCTCGACAAGCGGCTCGTGCAGCGCCACAGCTACTGCAGCGCGCTCTGCCTCGACCTGCCAGGCCGCGCGATCGCGCAGGCGACCATCGAAGACGTGCTCGACGAGGCGATCCCGTTCTTTACGCAGCGCATGCTCACGTTCACGGCCAAGGGCCATACCTACCACTCGCCCGACGTCGACGGGATGCTCAAGCCGCCGCCGCACCTTGCAAAGGCGCCGATTGTCGCCAAGATCCTCGCCGCGCTCAAGGCCCACCCGCTCGTAAAGAGCGCGCCGTACAAGCCCGGTCTGCTTGCGTTTTCGAGCAAGGCGTCGTCGAGTGCCACGGTCGACCCGAACGACAACTATGCCACGTTCCTGACCCACCAAGTCGGTCTCTTTACCGGCCGCATGCAAACGTCGATCGAGAAGAACCTCTCGTACCACGACACGGACGTCAAGTCGATGCTCAAGGCGCCGGCAAAGTGGGACCATGCGACGGTCGTCGAGCACATTGTCGCCCGACTGCGCGAGAACCCGACCGTCAACTCCGTCGTCGACGCCAAGGGCCGCGTCCGCTTTACGCGCTTGGCGCCACCGTCGACGATCTCATTGGACGCCTTTGTGGACGAGCGAAGCGCGTACTTTCTCGGTCGCATGCGCTCGATAACAAGCGTCGGCGGCGTCTACTCTGCAGCCGACGTCAAGAGCCTCATCATGGTGCCCGACCACCTCGATGCGGATGCCGCGTATATCCGCGTGCTCGCAGCGCTGCAAGCGTGCACGGAGGTCGTGTCGACGACCGACACAACCGGCCGCGTGACGTTTACGGCGCTCGGTGCCACCACGTCGCCGGCACGTAGCGTGGCCTCGGCCGCCGAGGATGACGCGTCGGTATCATCGATTGTCGAGCTCATGCTATCGGATGACGTCACTCGCTTCCGAGTGCAGCTGCACGCGGCGTTGGCGTCGTCGAGTGGCAGCTTTCCCGTGCGCAACGTGCGCAAGCAGATGGAAGACCACAGGTACATTTCGTCGACCAACATATTCGCGATCGTCCGGACCATTGTGCACCAGCTGCTCGAAGACCCGGGTATTGCGATCACTGAGAATGGCGCCAAGCTCGTGCGCGTGCCGGGCGCGGTCCTGGCGCCGCTCACGACGCCGTCGCTGACGCCATTGACGGTCGTGACGCTCGAGACGGCCCGCCGCGCCTTGACGTCGCCCGTGTACCTCGGCGACGTCTCCAAGGAGCTCGAGACGCTCAGGCTCTCTCTGGCGGGATCGCTCAAAGCGGTGCTGGCCACCTTGCAGGCGCGCGACTGTTTTCAGATGGACACGAACGGCTTTATCAACGTCAACGACGGCGCGTGGACCAAGCAAGTTGAAGCGTACATTGGCAGCCAGCCAGCCGAGCGCAAGCAGCCCATCTCGAGCTTGACGTCCCGGACGCTGCCGCTGTCTCCAGCGGTACCTACTGTCGACGCACGGCCGACAACGCCATCGATCGACGATTTTGTCGAAATGAACGTCGCGTTCTTTACGAAGCGCATGCTCGAACGGACGCGGGACGGCGGCATGTACTACGTCGGCGACACGCAGGCGCTGCTGCAAGCCGGCGGACCGCACTACAGCGTCAATGCCTTTGTCCGCATCTTGAAGGCACTGCGGGCGCACCCGGACGTTGTCTACCAAGTCGACGCGGACGGCAACGGCTACTTTACGCAAGCTGTTCGCGATGACGTCGACCAGTACGTTGCGCAGCACGCGTCACTGTACTTGGGCCAAATCGCCGACTATATCGCGGGTGGCAACTGCTTCTTTACGTCGTACCTCCCGAGCCAACTGCGCACGATCGTTCCGGACACGGCGCTGATCGAGCCGGTCGTAGAGGCGGTCGTGGCGTCCCTCCAGCGCAACCCGCGCTTCCGTTTTGCTACGGACAGTACAGGGCGGGCGTATTTTACGACAGGCCAGCCGCGTCTTGGCGACACCGACGTTCTCAGCCAACAACGTACGACCTGTCTCCATCCCCATTGTTATAATACCCACCATTTCGTCTTTAGCGTCGAGCGACATCGAGGTCGAGCCCGAGCCGTCGGTCAGTGACGCGTCGTCATCAAAAGCCATGCCGACAACGTTTGGCAAGCTCGTCAAGGACCTCACGGCGCGCTTCACAGTGCAAATGATGCTGACGGTTGAGAGCAACCACACTCGCTTTCACGTCTCGTACCTCCGGGGCGAGCTCGGCAAGACGTTTCAAGGTGTCTGCCTCGCCCAAGGCCACGACGTCGCCAAGCTGACGGCTGCCATTGTCGAGCAGCTCAAGAAGGACCCTCGCGTGATCTACGACGCCTCGGCGGCTGTCTTTGTCAAGAACCCCGACACAACACACGTCAAGGGCACCAACGCCACAGGCGTCAAGACCACCACAACGGCGCCCGCCAAGGGCCAGGACGCAGACGTCAAGAAGCACGCGGCCGCGATGCTAAAGGGCATGCTGAAGCTGCCGGTGACCAACAAGCGCTTTTACGTCGAGTTCATTCCGGGCATCGGCGACTACAAGACGAGCGCGCTCGCCCGCGCCATCGTAGCCGAGGTTGCCAAGGACACGCGCTACGTCTTGCGCACCGAAGGTGTTCCCCGGCCGTTCTTCGAGAGAAAAGGCGAGACAAAAGCACCAAGCGTCAAGTCGACCCCGTCCCGCGCCCCACCAACTCCATCGCGCGCCCCGACAGTGACAAGCCTGTCGATGGACAACGCGGCCAGCAACGGCGATACCTCGCACGGGCCGACGGTTGTGTCGACGGCCGCGCAGCTTCAACACACGGTCGGCGCCCTCGACGTGGTGCAGTCGCCGTGGACACCGCGCGCCGTCGCCCTTGACGCCCATGGTGTGTGGCCTCACGTTTTGCTTCAGTTGGCGAGCGACAATACGGTTATCCTCATCGACGTCGAGAGCACTGGAGCCAACGCTGTGCACACTGCGCTGTACCCGATGCTGGCGTCGACCGCTGTCACCAAGGTCGTCTACGGCGCCCATCGTCTCGCGGCGACGATGGCGCAGCTGCATGCCGACTCGATACCGTCAGTTGTCGACTTGGAGCTGCTGATGGAGCACCAAACCACGCGCTTCAACGTTCCATTCGCCAAGATGCTCTCGCTACTCGGACTACCCGCGCATCCGTATCCCCGGTACCTCGACCGACCCGACTTCTTTGATCAACGACCACTTCGGGCCGAAGCGACACAGGCCGCAGCAGCGACGGTGTCTCAGTTGCTGGACGCCTACCATTCCTCGGAAGATGATGTCAGCTGCAACCGCGATGAACTTTTGACCGCCTCCAACCAGCGACTGCATCAGGCCATTGCTTCTGATGGTCAGCGGTCGCTGTGCTTTGACGCGCAGCAGAATCAGCGACTCGTCTCGACCGAGTACCTCCAGGCGTGGCGACCCCACGACGTTGTTTCGAGTCCGCCAGTGGTGATCCACGAAGACTTGGACGACATTTTGGGGTTATTGCCACCTGACCTCGCGGCGCCACTGCTCCAACCAGAGGTCAGCGCTAAGCTACTGGACATTGTCTTGGACCTCGGACGCCGACCGTGGGCGTGGGTCAACGGCGCGCGTTTCTTTCTCGATCCGAGTAACCACGACCGCGTCGTCACGAGAGACGACCTCGATTCGATCGTGGAGCGCGTCGGCGGCTTTGGCAGCGACAACCGCGCCGGCCTCGAGCGACAACTGCACCGTATCTCGGCGATTCGCAACCGCCAAGACAGGATCATCGCCCTGACGATCCGCGTCGGCCGGTACATTGAAGGCAACGCGGGCTTGATCGCGGATCTTCTGGCAATGGAAGACAAGAACATTCTCTTCCTCGGCGAACCAGGCTGCGGCAAAACCACCATCGTCCGCGAAGTCTCTCGGCAGCTTGCGACCAAGTACAACGTCTGCATCGTCGACACGAGCAACGAGATTGCAGGTATACTACTCTTTATCTCGTGCTGGTAGAGAAGAAGAACCCTAACCACCTTCTGTTCCAAAGGTGATGGCGACATTCCGCATCCGTGCGTGGGCCTGGCGCGGCGCATGATGGTGCCGTCGCTCGACGACCAAGCCGCTGTGATGGTCGAGTGCGTCCAGAACCACACACCCGAGGTCATGGTCATTGACGAGATTGGTCGCCCGAACGAAGTCGAGGCCGCGCGTACGTGCAAGCAGCGTGGCGTGCGCATCGTAGCCTCGGCGCACGGCGACCTCCGGAAGTTGCTCAAGAACAAGCCGCTGCGAGGTCTTGTGGGCGGCGTCGAGTCGGTGACGGTAGGCGACGCACTGGCCAAGGAGAAGCAGAAGAAGGATGACAACGGGCCGCTGCGAAAGCTCTTGGCGCAGCGTGGTGGTGAGCCGATCTTTGAGGTGATTGTGGAGCTGCGTCGGGGGCAGTACAACGCGTGGCGCATCGTGACGGACGCTGCGTCGGCGGTCGATGGCATTTTGGCCGGCGAGGCGTACGAGGCGCAATTGCGGACGCGGGCGACTGATGGCATCTACTACAGCGAGCAGAAAGTCTAATTGAATATGATTGTGGATCGATACGAGTGAAGTCGTCAGCTTATGGCGCTTTATTTGTGGCATATGCCAAAAGCAAATTTTGCATAATTGTCGATGTTCCCCTCGCACGCCGACGTGGAGGTGCAATTTATCATCTTCAAAATGACAAGTTAAAGCCGATGTCATTGGCGCATCGAGCAGCTCAGCGACCATGCCATCTCCGTGACAGACCCGACGGCCACGGTTCGCTTTGCCATACGGTCGCAGAATGCATTGAATCATTGGAGTAGCACCCGGTGCTTGCGGCCGGACACACTGTGGTCGCAACACAGAGCCTTCGCGAGGTGCAACATTGTCGTTGCGCAGGATTGGTGTAAAATCTAGCCAATCAAACGCCGCCGAAATGGATCTTACGCTGTCAACGCCCGCTCGGGTTACTTTGCCAACGTCGTTTGCGTCTTGGTCGTACTACAGCAGCACGCAAAGAGCGTGGTCGTACTACAGCAGCACGCAAAGAGCGTGGTCGCTGTGAGTTCGTCCCGCAAGAAAGGCTGGAGCCTCTCACCGTTCATCAACTCCGACAATTTGAGCATCTCGACGAAAAACTTCGATGCTCTCGACTCAGATCTTACAGCATTCGCTCATTACGCTAACGGCTCGGTGCTCCACCATGACTCGTAGTCCTTCTGATACGTTAATGCGCCACCAGGCTTGCAATACAGGATTGCTACTACCGGTACTGCGATGGGTCAATATTTTAGACTTGGTAATTAGGCCCCTCCTTGCCACGGCTGGCGGGTCATGGCGTAGTACATGAGTTCGTCCTCCTCGTCCTCGGGGCCGTGTTTGGAGCGGCAGTACCAGTACGTCAAGTAGGACGCGAGTAAGATCGAGAAGCCCGACAGAAGGGATGCCGTCAACCCTACGCCGTCGCCGACAGTTTTTCGCGTACTTTGAAGCACGCCTTGAAGTCTGTCGTAGAAGCAGACGCCTTCAGAGCCCCACAGGGCTCTGTACTCTCGGAGCTGGTTGTACCGAGCGATGCGCGCCTCTTCGTATGTGAGGAGATACGGCATCACGAGCTTGCTCGCGTAAAAGAGGCAGAACGTCGTCGCTGTCTCGGCCACGGTCTCGGGGCACTTGTCGTTGATCCAGTCGCGCAGCCGCGACGGTGGCAATGAAGCCGACACAATCTCACGGCAACCGTCGCACGCCACGTCAATGTTGGTCTCGGGAAGGCGACCCGGCGCGTTGCAGAACGTCGTCAGCGTCGTTGCGTTGGTGACGATAACGCCATAGTAGAGACCCGAGTCAAAGGCGGTTCGGTTCCGGCGTGTGTTCTCGACGCCCTCGAGCAGGTAGGCTCGAAAAAGCGTCTCACGCATCGGGAGCTTGGAGCAGTACGCGACACCCTTGGCCTCGCAGTAGGCTTCTTCGAAGACGCGTTGCGTCGGTCTGTCGGGCACGGCCAAGTAGTACCTCCACGGCGTGATGAGGCTGTCATCGTAGTTTGGCATGCGAGTGTCGAGACTCAAGTCAAACCAGGTGCTGCGTGTGTCCTCGTATTTGGTGGTGTCGCTTATGAGAGCATAAAATGCGACGGCGGCGATCGCAGCGAAAAGTCCGGCGTTGACGAAGACGAGGGCGGGCGGGAGGGCCGAGCGAGCCAAGTTGAGGGACTTGTAGCGGCAATACATCAGAGCACCAAGAATACTGACGAGGCCGACAGCTGCACACGAGAGCATTGAGTAGCTCGATATGAATACAAGGAGCTCGGACGAGCCGACCGTGATGAGAAAGCCAAGGTACGCCACGACGGTGAGACCACTCCAGACGAGGAATACTCGTGTCATCGCAGCAGGTTTGAAAATGAACTAGAATCTGGACATGGCGGTTTTTGCCAGCTGTAGACACCCTGTCAAACGGGTTGGAAGGTTGACCCATCCACACCATCTTGTCTCATGCCAGCTGTTGTCAAAGCATTGTACAGTATCGACTCCTCCATCCATTCTAGTGCTAGAGATAGAATTCTCGGGTGTTTGGACGGCTCAAACCCGAATCGAAGCAGTCGTGATGCATGACAACCGGTCCATTTCTGCTTCTGTACTATAGTATCCAGATTATCTTGCATAAACTGTCTAGTAACTGTCGCACTCTCGTGGTGGACACGACACGCCACATGTTGTTGGATCCCGCTCGATGCTCGCAATTTACTTTTCGATTTCATGATAATCTCCAAAGACTCCGTCGCGACTACCGTCGTTGCCATCGCTGCTGTCCTCGCGATTGCCCAAGGCGTCGTCGCCTACCGTGTCTCCAACGCATGGCTCGTCTCGTTATTTGTGCTGGCGCACGCTCAGGCCGCCAAAGCCGTCGCCATCCTCCTCTTCTTGTTTGCGGCAGCCGGTCTCTGCTCGCTCGTCCAGCCGCGCGGGCGCCGCAAGGTGCAACTCGTCGTTGTTTTCGTGTTTGTGGCCGCGTACGCCAGTCTCCTTGGTCTCGTTCTGGATGGAATGGCGATCGTCCAGACCAACATTGAGGTGACGGCGCTCTTCACGTCGTACCAACATCGAGTCGACACGGTACTCAACTTGGAGCCGGGGTCTGTATTTTCTCAGGCGAAAGACGCGGGGTACCTCGAGTGGCTCCCAGGCGGCCGAGCCACCTCGGACTACTCACTCGGCCCCAACACGGAGCTCTTGGAAGCCTATGGCAACTACTCCAAGGCGGCGGCAAGGACGTTCGATGCTGCGTACTGCCTCGGCCAAGGCAAGACGTTTTGCGATACGCTCCCGTTCTCATCAACGATCGTGCTGCCGGGCATTTGGCGCAACAAGAATGCCACGCGCGCCATGACTTCTGCGCTGGCGACCTTGCCAACGACCTTTGCCAACGTCACGATCACGTCCGCGACGACCATCAACAGCTTTTGCGCCCAAGCCGACGCGACGGCGCTGGCAATGTCCCGCAACGACAACATGACGCTCCAAGACGTCTGCGTCAGCTGCGCCGAGCTCATGAAGCCGATGCCGACGCAGTACGCCGACGTCGCCTCGTACATTCAGACGACGTGTCCGCTCACGGTCGCGCGCAGCGAGGGCCTCTTTTGCATGGCGAGAGCGCACCCTTTCGACGCCTGGTCCCCGATCAACACGGAGACCAACCAGCGTCGCAAGGTGTGGAACGACGATACGCTGCCGTACGGGAAGCCGTCGATGAGCGAGTGCTTTGGCCACACGCTGATGGCGCCCGCCCGACGTGACGCGCGAACGCTGGCGGTTGCCCTTAGTGCGCTCCTTCTTCTCAACGTCGTTGCATTTGTCTATCTCTGGCCACTGCGCCAACCCGACACGACGTGGGCGTCGCTCAAGCGCGGAATGAAGAAGTTGCAGAAGCGCTGGCGTCGCGACGAGCTGTCGATTAAAGCCATCACCAACGACGTTCGACTCGTCGAGTCGGGGCCCCTTGCTACCAATAACGTTGTCGGTTGCCGCACGGTCCAGTAAATATCGATAATTTCGTAGATCAATAGGTTTAGGTTTAGCTTCTTGTAGCCCGTCTTAATTCACTCACTCTTCATTTCAACTCCTCTTGAGCACCTGTCTTCTACCACCCTCGGTGCGCAGACAAAGCAGGCCTCAACATGGTCCATGAGGTCGGTCGCGTGCGTGCCGGCGTACACGTTGCGCAGACGAGCGCGTGTTGGTAAAGACGCGGTTCGGGAGCAGCTCGTCGGGGAGCGTGACTTCGACGTATTTGAGTTGCGTGTCGTCGACCAAGGAGCCGATGAGGTTGGCGCAGTACAAATCGCGGTCGAGGTCGTAGTCCGGGATCTCGAGGCGGTCGGTCGCGAGCAAGTAGCGGCGGCGGCCGTCCTTGTAAATCTTGGCCTTTGTACCCTTGGCGGGAATTGGCGCAACGTGTACGCCGGCACGCACGCGACCGACCGCATGGACCAAGTTGAGGCCTGCTTCGTCTGCGCACCGAGGGTGGTAGAAGACAGGAGCTC